AGATGCTTGCTCTGGGAAGTAGCCACCATGCTGTCGGGAAGCCCTGGCCACATGAAGAGGCCATATGCAGTTGTCCCGGCTGAGCGCCCCCAGCTGAGGTTTCAGATATGTAAGTGGATGAGTTTCAGATGCAAGCCCCAGCCTGCAAGCTGCTCCAGCTACACGGACTGGAGCAGAGTTGAGCTTTTCCCAGGGAACTTGGCCACGGTCGCGGATTTGTGAGTGAAGTAGATGTGACCACTGCTTTAAACCACTAGCTGTGGGGACACTTGGTTACGCAGTGCCAGTAACAAGAAGACCCCACCACCACCACCTTTTTGGTGAGGAATAATTCTCCCCATGTTATAGATGAAGAAACTGAATCTCATTTACTGAAGGGAAGTCAAGATTGAGCACCAGGAATGTGATATTCTTAACAGCTGGGCCTAGGTCACAGGGTGACCTCAAAACCAAGCCTAGGCCCCCTGTGATCCAGCAGTTGTGTTGTGGCTCTGGGTTTGGGGTGGTGGAAAGTGGAGGCAAACAGATTGTGGTCTTGGGTGGAAAGGCTCAGGGGGGACGCCGTGATGTTTGCTGCACAAGATTCACCCCCTGATCTTCTGGGGACACATGGGCTATCCCTCAGGTTGTCAGTGGCCCCAGAGCTTCTCACCAGCCTCTTGCCGTGTTGCCCTCAGTGGCTCTGGGAGATGCCCAGGCAGTGCCCTCAGGGGCGTGAGGTGCACAGGACCAGAGGTCTGGAGTCGGTTTCAGCTGCTCCACATGCAAACTCAGTGATCACCCAGGGTGTTAAAATGGCCTGGGAGTTGCCAAGGGAGGGGCTGGGGGAAGGGCTGGATCGCAGGAACAACCCAGGAGTGACCCTGTCGCCACAGTGGAAGATTCCGACTGGGGACAACCTTCTTCTTATGGATCCAGATACTTGAGGAGCCCAAATTGGCAAGCGATCCTCCAGGAATGACCCCATTTTCCTTCCCTTCATTCCCAGGACCAGGAAGTTCAGTTCTTTGAAGAAAATAGATTCCAGCATGTACACTGGACAAGTGGCCTCCGTCTCTGAGTATCAGTTTCCTCATGAATGAAATGCAAGGTAAGAGTCAATGGCGTCCCTGGTTACTCCAAGGGTCCATGGGGGAGGAGGAGGTGGGTTCACTTGGTGAGCAGTGGGGATGGAGGGGCATGGTGCAGACAGGCAGGTGCGTTACACCCACCAGCTCCACTTGCCTCCTGATCATTCTCCTCCAGATCGCCCTGAGAGCTGCTGTACCCCACCCTTAGTCCCTTCAGATCCTGTGATGTTGACCTGCTCCAGGGCTCCAGGCCCGGACGCAGGACCCAGCCTGGCCACCCAGAGTAGCTCATCCCTCTGGCTATAGTAGTTGGTTCAGGAATGGCTGTATGGCTCAAGCTGGAACTTCTCCAAGAACTATTACGAAAGAGGCACTCTTAAAAGAGGTTGCTGAGTTGAAAGATGAGAGCTGCTATTGCCAGTAGTGGTGGTGACTGTGGTGGGAACTCTTACAGAATGAAGCCAAAGGAAAATAAGGAAATGAAGGAAAATAAGAGCCTAGAGCTGGAGGAAAAACAACATTTAATTATCATTTAAACACCTGGATCTAGCCATGCCTGAAGCTAGATACCCTTAACATGTTTAGTTAAATTGGCCAATAAATTCCCATTTTACCCAAGCTATTTAAACAAAGGCCAAAGTATCCGGGTGGATATATGTTTACCCTCCATGCCCTACCTCCATGGCAGAGGCAGGCAATGGGAAAATCAACCTGGGTTGGTTTGTTTTCAGCATTTAGAGGCCAGACACTCAGAACAACTCACACAGAACTTCCTGCGGCCCCTGCTGGAGAGGAAAGGGTGACTGCCTTCCTCTCTGCTTTGGGACTGCAGCTCCAGTGCCTGCCCGATAGTGGAGACTATTCATTCAACACGACACTCATGAGGACCACTGTGAGCCTCACCTTAGGACAGGCAAGAAACACAGAACTGGAAAGTGTGAGAGCAGCCCTGGAAGGGTGTTCAGTCTAGAGGGTGACCAAGGCCTGCAAACAGGCCTTTCTAAGGCAGGGTGAGTGCTTTGGTGGGGCCCTCCCAGAGGTAGAAGGCCTACTCCCATTGAAGTGGGAGGGACAGATGCAGGAAGGCTTCCCAGAGATGATGCCTGAGATAAGACCAAAAGGCAGCGGGAAGCTGGGGGAATACAGGTGGGGGGAAGATTTTGAGTAGAAGTTCCTGCCATGAGCATAGACACTGAGGCCTCAGAAGGCAGAGAGCATGCGGGGGAGTAAAACCAATCCAAAATGACAAGGTACGAAGTGCCAGGGAAACAGTGATGAGACTGGAGGCCACGTCTGGCAGGGGCTTGTAAACCACAGAAAGAGCTGGAGTTTAAAACTGAAAAGTTTTAAACAAAGAAGTTGGGGCTGGATTGTGTCTTAGAAAAATCATTCTAGGCTGGGCATGATGACTCATACTTGCAATCCCAGAACTTTGGGAGGCCAAGGTGAGTGAATCACCTAAGGTCAGGAGTTCAAGACCAGCCTGGGCCACATAGTGAAACTCCGTCTCTACTAAAAATATAAAAATTATCTGGGCATTGTGGTGCATGCCTATAATTCCAGCTACTGGAATTATAGGGGAAGCTGAGGCAGGAGAATCACTTGAACCGGGGAGGCAGAAGTTACAGTGAGCCAAGAACATGCCACTGCATGCCAGCCTGGACAACAGAGCAAGACTCTGTCTCAAAAAAAAAAAAAAAGAAAGAAAGAAAGACAGAGAAAAGAATAGAGAAAAAGAAGAAAAAAAACAAAGAAAAAGAAACAAAAACAGAAAAGTCACTCAGGCTGCAATAGCAAAGGTGGATTAACCAGAGCTCACTTCTGAAGCTATCGCTCTCCCCACAAAAGAGGAAGCACCCTAGACTAAGAGAATGATGGTGAGGCGTCTTAGCCCCTTCAGGTTGCTATGACAAAATTGCAAGCTGGGTATCAAGCTGGAGAGCTTATAAACAACAGAAACTTATTTCTCGCAGTTCTGGAGGCCAGAAGGCCCAAGATCAAGGCGCCAGCCGATCTGGTATCTGCAGAGAGCTCCCTGCTTCACAGACAGTGCTTTTTTACCATCCTTACCCGGCAAAAGGGAAGGGCAGCTCTCTAGGACGTCTTTGATAGGGGCGTTAATATCATTCACAAGGCAAAAGTCCTCATGACTTATTCACTCCCAAAGACCCCACCATCACCTCGGTGACTAAGTTTCAGTAGATCAATTTGGTGGCACACAAACATGCATGCCACAGCAGGGGTCATTTGTTGAGCATGTACTACACGCAAGGCTTTGTGTTAACCTCATTACAAGGCATCAGCCTTTTAGCCACTGTAACATCACTATTTTGAGAGAAGAGGAAACTGAGGGACAGGTTAGGCAACTTAGCCAAAGGCGCACAAATGGGGAGTTAGGAAAGCCAGGATTCCAATCCAGACAGGCTGGCTCCAGCATTCCGGGTAGTGAAGAGGTGACAGAGCGGGGAAATACTTAAAGGATTGGGTTGCAGGAACAGGTCTGATAGGATGGTAAGGTCAGGAGCGGAGTGAAGGATGAGGGGATGCTCGTGTCTCCCAGGCAGAGCCTGCTCCCTGATTTGTGGAACTCAGTGAAAAAATGCAAGTGCTGAGCAATTTGTTCAAAATGCATTAGGAATTCCAAGACAGCGCTGGTAGAGAGCAGACCTCTCTCGGGTTTCTGAGATGAGGAAAAGAATGAGTATTCCAGAGGAAATGAAGGCACAGAGGAATTAAGTGACTTACTCAAAGTCATGCATCTGGTGGGTGGTAGTGCCAGGATTTGAACCCATAAGCTGGAAAGTTCTCCATCCCCGTGCTGAGGACTCACCCAAATTCTTTCTGCAAGAGATAAGGTTTACTCAGTTTACAGACCAGGATGTGGAGGCCCCCAGGCAAAGCTGCCCACCCTAGGTCTCATGGCCAGCTTTTGGGGAGCGGGATTTAGGATTAGCCTCCGGGCACTCCAACCTTTTCTCCCCACCACCTCCTCTCCACGTCCCCACTCCAGCAGCCCCAGGACAATCTGCCTCATGACATGACAGCTTCTCATTACTGTCACAAGCAACCAAGCCAGGGCCATCCTGGGGTATAATATACTACTTTACCCTGTCCCTGGACAGAAACCAACTCCCAGCTGGGGTGCCCACTTGCCCCACCTCGGAAGGATTTTCTGTGCCTCTAGAAGCAAAGTAGATTTGCTGGGCCCTCCCCAGCCTCACCTCTCTGCCTCCTCCCCCGACCCGGCTCTCTCTGGGGGTCACTTGTACTCTGAGCGCTAGCATGGAACCAGAGGGAGGAAGGTGGAGAGGAGAGAGAAGGGGATGGCAGCCCGGCTGAAACTTGAGATCTTAGCCTTGGGGGGCAGGGGATGGGGGTGGAGGGAAGGAGAGAGAGAGAGAAAGGGGGAGTGAAGTTGCATTTAGTTTTCCAAAGCGGGCAGCATGGGGACTCGGTGTTTGTGTGTACATGAATGCGTGTGAGCGTGTGCGTGCGTGTGAGTGTGTGCCTGTGTCTGCACTCCTGAGTGTGTGCACACGTCTGTGTGCTGTTTTCTTCCCTCCCCTCCAGCGGGGAAGCCGGGACTCACTGGATAATCAAAAGGCTCAGAGCAAGGTTGGTACACAGTTAGGGTAAGGGCAACCGGGCAACATGCAGTCAAGACTGAGGAAGGAGGAAGGGAAGGGGTGAAGAACAGAGATGAGAGGGTGTGTCGGATGGGGGTGGCGGGAGGTGGCCGAGAGGAAGCAGAGCAGCTGTGGTATTCAGAGCAAGTATAAATAGCTGCCCAGACAGAGCTCTGCCAGACAGGGGCTTGCAGATGCTGCTGCAGCTGCAGGCAATCCTGGCCACCGTTGACAGCAGCAGGACAGCCCAGGCCCAGCCCCTGGGGCTCTGACCCAACACCCCTCGCCATTGCCACATCTCCGGATGCTCTTCCAGCTCAACATGCTGTGGGGTGGTCTCCTCCTCATGGTTGCCACCATGTCCGTGACTCAACAGACAAGGCAGGAAGCGAATAGCGACCACGAGACACTTGTAGTCCAGCACGGCCACTGTCGCTACACCTTCTTGCTACCCAAGTCCGAGCCCTGCCCTCCAGGGCCTGAGCCCTCTGGGGACTCCAGCAGTTTCCAAAGGGACCCCCTGGCCACCCCACTGCACCCAGGGAAGTTACCCACCCAACGGGTGAAACGGCTGGAGCAGGCGCTGCAGAACAACACGCAGTGGCTGGAGAAGGTATGGGGCGTGGGGGCCTTGCAGCGGGCAGAGGGCGGCTGTGGGGTCTGTCACAATCAGCAGGTGGAGCATCCATCCCAGAGGCCTTCCCTGGGCACAGAGGGCTGGCTCTGAGTTGCACAGATTGGGCTCTGAGGCCCAGAGAGGGGCAGGGATGGGCCTGAGGGCAGTGTCCGCTGGCAACCTGGCTCTTTCACTGCCATCCCTTCATTCATCCAACAGAAATCCATTCAGCGCTGACCATGGGCCAAGCCATCCCGGGTGCTGGGGATACAACAGTATAATATGTCTCCCTCTGGACTAGTGGGGGAAAGAGATCATCTACTATGTCAGATGGTGAAGCAAAATAAAGAAGAAGGCAAGGGGTAGCCTTGGGTGTCTGCTCGAGGTCAGATCATTAGAGAGGACATCTCAGAGGAGGTGACCTTTGAACCCAGAGGACAAGGGAAGTGATAGAGTGGGCCATGTGGGTATTTGAGGGAACGCTCTACAAAGGGAGCAGCACATGTATTGCCTGTGAGGGGGGAATGCATCCGCAGCGGGCCAGGGATGGCTGGTGTGGCTGGCACAGAGGGGAGGGAGCAAGGGCGAGGGAGGTCTGAGAGGTGAGGGCCCGGCAGGCCATGCCGCTGTGGGGGCCACTGGAAGGACTGGCATTTGCTCTGAGTGTCACGGGAGCCACTGCAGACTTTTGAGCAGGGACTGACACCCCGATTTGATTTGAACAGCATAGACTGTAGGAGGCAGGGTAGACGCAAAGAGCTCAAAGAGGTGGCCGCGGCAGCCACCAGGCATGAGGTACTGGACGCCTGGAGCAGAACTAGCTGGGAGGGGGTGTGGCCAGTCCGATTCTGGTGGGTTCTGGAGGTGCAGTCCATCAGCTCTGCTGGTGAATTGATGTGGAGTGGGAGGAAGCAAGGAGCCGAGGACGCCACTGCGGTTTTGGCCCAAGACCCGGGCTGCTGTAGAACGCCCTGTCATTCTCTCATCTTTCAGCAAACAGTCCGAGCACCTACTGTGTACTCTTGGGGAAGTACTGAGGACAGAGGTGAGCAAGGCAGTCTTGGCCCTGGCGGGGCATTAGGGCACAAGAGACATCCTGGGGGGTCTGAGATGGGACTCTTTAGAGCCCCTAAGTGAGAGCTACGGAGGAAAGGGAGAGGGGCCCAGGAGATAGTCTGGCTGGTGGCTGGTGAAAGAAGGATGTGAACCGTTCCTGGGTTCTAGAGTGTACTGAACAGCAGACAAGCTTGACAACCACCTCTGGCTCCTGGCTGGATGGCTGTCATGGCTGCCACCCTGGCTTCCTGCTAACACTCGGGCCCCACTCTGTATTCTCCATGCAGCAGACCAAAGGATCCCCATCAAAACCTAAGTTACATCCGCTCCCTCCTCCCAGGGTTACAATGGCATCTGAATAAAAGCAAGAACCCTTACTCCCCAGAGTGCCCTCTCCCAGACCCCTAGGTGGCTTACCCCACCCTCCTATTCACGCCAATGTCACCTCGTCAGAGGCCCTGCCCACCCTGTATAAAGGAGCCACCCTCCTTCTTCCACACTTTATACCTTCCACAGACGTTGTTTGTTTGGTTTTTTTTTTCGTAACATTTATCCCTACCTGATGTTCTTAAAAACATTTCTTTGGTCTGTGAGCTCCCAGAGGGCAAGCACCATGTCCATTTTGCTCACTCCTGGGTTCCCAGGGCCCAGAATAGTGCCTGATACATAGTAGGTGCTCAGTAAATGTCTGTAGCATGAGTGAATGCATGAATGCATAAATATTCTTCTAATCTCTCTGGTCCCAGGTCTCCATCCTGCTCCATGATGACACAAAATTGGCATTGATAAGATCCTGACCCCAAAACCCATGACCTTGACCTCCCCCAACATCCCCCTGAGGCTTCGTGTTGTCTCAACTCCAAAGCTATCTGAGACGACTCCCTGTTCTCCTCTGACACCCTCCTCCTGCCCACCTCTCTCTGTTTAGGGGATGACACCACCCAGCCACAGACTGTCTGTGCCCTGAGGACTTCCTGTGACTCCCACTATCCCCAGGCAGCTGGCCCCACCCATCCTGCTGCGTAGGCTCCTCTCATGGTCCTTTCTGGCCTAGGCCTCGTCATCTTTCCCATGGACTCTGCCATCACCTCCCAATTGGCCTCCTACACCAAGTCTCACTCACACTCAGGTCCCAGGTCTCCATCCTGCTCCACAATGACACAAAATTGGCATTGATGGGATCCTGAGCCCAAAACCCATGAGACTGGAAGAACATTTATGCATTCATGCATTCACTCATGCTACAGGCTACAGACATTTACTGAGCACCTACTATATGTCACCTCTCACTCTCTCATCCATCTTTGAATCCCCTGGGTGTCAGATGCTAGGGAGACATTGGCTGAGAGTTGATGGCTTAAACTGATGTTTTATAGGATCAGAAGGTCACCTGGTCTGACTCTGCAGCCTGGGGTGGAATGTCCTCTCCAGGCATCCATTCACCTAGCTGGAAAATCCTGAGCTGGGGTCATTCAGGTCACCGTAGAGCGCTGTGGGGCCTAAGGTCACTGATGTGGAGTTCAGCTGACCTGGCTGCAGGTGCTTCCTTACCACATGGCTACGGGTGAGCGGGTTTCAGTCTTCCTGCCTGCAAAGTGGTGAAAATGACAATATGTCAGGGATGACGAGGAAGATAAATGAGACTGCCCACCCAGCATTCACAGCCTGTTGCCTGGCCTCCTGCTTCACCAAGACACAGGAGAGCTCACCCGAGCAGTGAGTTGGGCTTTTCTTCAATTTGGCATAATCCCTATTTTAGGCCCCTGCCCCACCGGCTGGGGGAAGCTCTCTCTTAGTCAAGCCAGTACACGGGTTGCAGGTATCCTTGGAGCTGGGAATGTTAACTGTTCACGCTGATGTTCTCAAGGGCTCCTCCGAACTCCACGGTCTCTGGTGTTTGCTGTGCCATCTCCTGGGTCAGGAGCCCCTCGGGTTGAGCACTCCTTCATCCCCTCGGCATTCAAGTCACTGCCAGGTGGCCTGATGCCTGTGGAGCCTGTCACAAGATCAGACCTATCAGCCTAGACAGACCTGATCATCACTTTCCCTGGGTCTGTACCCTCCTTGGGCAGCAGCATGGCCTGAAAGGTGAGAGCCCTGACCCTGGAGCCCAGTTGCTGGGATTCCAGCCTCATTTCTGCCCCTTGCTGTGTGACCTGGAGCAGGTTGCTTCATCTCTCTGAGCCCTGGTTTTCTCACCTACAAAACAAGGTGAAAATACTCCCTACCCCTGAGGATTTCACATCCTTGGCCTGGTGCCAAGTGTTTGTTGGCTATTTCCACTGTGGGTTCTCCCTGCAAATAGAGACATGGGTCCTACAATTCTTGGGTCCTTCTTCACTCCAGTTGAGACATGTGACCCTTGGTTCAGGTAAACAATGATTTCTCTCTCTAGACTCCTGGGCCCCCGTGGGGGACGCTTGCTACTTTCTGTGGCTGTGGCTGTGGCTGTGACCTCCCTCTGGGTCTTCTCTTGGTCTAGGCATATCTCAGATCTTCTGAAGCCCAAAGCTTTTTTTTTTTTTTTTTTTTTTTTTTTTTTTTTTGGCTTTTTCTCTAACATCCCAGAAAAGATTTTTTTAAATGAGTTTTAAAATACTTTTATCTAATTGCACCATCATCATCATCATCGCCATCATCACCATTTTCATTAGGGCTAAACAAGCTCTTCGCAAAATTCTGTTCATCTAGACAGGCACAGGGGAGGCAAATCCCAGAGGCCATCATCTGCTCAGCCTGTGCCCCCAGCTCCCCTCCTGTTCCCCTGTGTACCGGTGAAGAAACAGGCCAGAGAGGGAAAGTGACTTGTCAGAGCCTTGTGGCCCTGAAAGCCAATCGAGATTCTCACTCCAAACTGCAGGTTCTTTTTCCTGACTCTGGAAGGTGTTGAGGAAGCAAGGGAAGCAGGATCTAGAGATGGGACGCCCTCGATGCTCCCTTCCGCTGCAGAGTTTCCAAGTCCCCAGATACCCGCTCTCTTTTCCCAGCATTTGGCTTGCTGTGTCCTACTGCCAGTGCTCAGAGGACATGGGGAGGGCCCCGGCCTTGCCCCTTCTCCCTCTCTTCCCTTCCACGCTCTCCTCCTCCCCTGCACCCCCATCTCCCTCTCTTCTCCCTGCTCTCCCTCTCCTTCTGCCTCTCCTACTCTCCTCCTCCTCCATCCTGGAAAGCCCCTCCCCCAGTGACTCCCATCTGGAGCCAGCTCTGGTGTGCCGAGAATCAGCTCTGGACCCCGCTCTGCCCACCTCATCTGGATGAAAAGCTGCAGCCAGGAATATTGAGGAGGTTGGGGGACAGAGCCAGCTGGAGTGCAGGCATCTCTAGCTGGGCCAGGCAGCCTACAGTGGCTAGTCACATGACCTCCTCTGTCCACCACGCTCTCTTTAAGACCCAGTGCTGGCTCTTCCCTCTCAGTGCCACATCCGAAAGCTGGGAGGAAAATGACAAGCACCTTCTCCTGACCTTCCATGTGGGGTCAAGAGAAGCCGACCAGGGAAAGCCTCCGCACACAGCAGATGCTCAGTAAGGGCTCCCGTGTGTGACTGCCATTCCCCCAGTTGTCCCAGCTGTCCCAGCCAAGAAGTGCCATCCTCTGCCTTCTCCTCATGTCCCCACAGAATGATCCATTCTACAGATGAGGAGGGTGAGGAAAACCAGGGCCAGACACAAGCCCCAGGCTCCCTGGCCCACCCCCACCACCTGAGGGCAGCACATCTTGCCCCAGTCTCTGAGCTCCCAGGGCAGGGCTGACTCCACCTGGAAATGCGGGTGAGAACTACCTTCTCGCCTTTAGGGAGCAGCCAGCGGCTGCTGGCCTGGAGTCTGTGGCAGCTGTCTCTCTCTATCTCCTTGTCTATTTCTGTCTCTTTTGGTCTCTCTTAGAGACAAGGTCTGGCTCTCTCAACCATGCTGGGGTGCAATGGTGCAATCACAGCTCACTG